AATATAGAAAGTGAAGCAAATATAAAAACGAGGTAATCACTTCTGCTCCTAGTGATGACGCACTTGGTAATCTGGACCACCTCTCCCACTGAGGATAACTTTTAATAGAAAAGCTGTATTAAAAATAAAACCTATATTCTTGAAGGCATCAAGAAGTTAACTAGGTAATGAAGAATAACTGGGCCAGGGTCCTGGAGAAGACAGAGCCCTGGGGAGGTTAGCCCTTTGTTGAGCACTGGATAGCCAGTTTGGAGGGAGATGAGCAGCACTTCTGACAGCCTTTTCAGAACAGAGGACAGAGGCTGGAATCAGAGGACAGAGGTTGGAATTCACGGGTTGCCAAAGTGGGGGAATTGTCCTAGTGAACTTTCCTGACTTTTAATTGGGCCCCCAAAAGATTGCACTCTGGAAGTACAGGTGACCTGGATATAAATAGGCCTTCTCAGGGACTCCACTCAGCTCCAAATTATCTCAGACTGGATTGAGGTGATTCTAGATTGTTACTGCCCCACAGGTACCACACATTAGAAAACATGAATTTTCTCTGGAGGAAAATAACATCATCTTAGGAATCAAGTTATTTCTACGATTGTCAAATACGCGTATATGGTGAAAAATAACCAGGCAACAGAAAGACAAGAAAATAACAAGAACAGACCTACAGCAGATACAAATATTAGAGCTATCAGACACAGACATTAAAATAACTGTGCCTAGTGCATTCACAGACATTAAAATAACTGTGCCTAGTGCATTCACAGAAATAAAAGACACAAATTAGAACTTCAGCATAGAACTGGGAACTAAACAAAATCCAAATGGACATTCTAGAATGAAAGATAAAGTTTCTGGAATGAGAAATTCATTGGTTGGGCTCAATAGCAAATTAGACACAACAGAAGAAAAAATTAGAGACTTGGAGCATAGGACAGAAGAAAATATCCAGAGTGATTCCCGGAGACACACAAAAAAAGATGAAAAGTGAAGAAGAGAGGGAAAGGGACATAGAGGAGGTAAGAAGGTCTAACATGTTGTTGGAATCTCAGGACAGGAGAGAGAGAAAATGAGTCACAAACAACATCCCAAGAGATAATGGCCGTCACTTCCCCAGAGTAGCAAAAGACATCAAGTCATAGATTTAAGAAGCTCCAAAAACCCCAAACAAGAAAAATAAAAAGAAATCCATACATAATAATTACTGAAAGATCTCAGACAGAGAAAATCTTAAAATCAGCTGGAGGAAGAAAAATCAAGATAAGCAAAAACAGTGGAAACTGGAAGACCTGGCATATCTTTTAAAATTCCAAATGAAAAGAACCACCAGTCTGGAGTTCTAAGCCCAGTGAAAGATACATCAAGAGGCAAGATGAGAAAAGAGTTTCCTAACAAAGCTGAATTACCAGTAGACCTTCACTGTAGGAAATATTAAGAGTATTTTGGGGGCAGAAAGAAAACAGTCACAGATGGAAGATCAGAAATATAGGAAGGCATGAATTTTAAAAATAGGTAAATAGGTGGGTTAAAGTGAATATTGGCTGTATGAAACAATACTGATGTTTTATGGATGCGTGTGTATGTGTACTCACACATTTAAAATATACAGTAACAATAGCATGTAAGAATGTAAGGAGGCCGGGCGCAGTGGCTCAAGCCTGTAATCCCAGCACTTTGGGAGGCCGAGACGGGTGGATCACGAGGTCAGGAGATCGAGACCATCCTGGCTAACACGGTGAAACCCCATCTCTACTAAAAAATACAAAAAACTAGCCAGGTAAGGTGGCGGGCGCCTGTAGTCCCAGCTACTCGGGAGGCTGAGGCAGGAGAATGGCGTAAACCCGGGAGGTGGAGCTTGCAGTGAGCTGAGATCCGGCCACTGCACCCCAGCCTGGGCGACAGAGCAAGACTCCGTCTCAAAAAAAAAAAAAAAAAAAGAATGTAAGGAAGGGGATAAATTTCATATTCTGAGGTTCTTGCATTGTATGGGAAAAAGGGTAAGAATGTCAATTAATGTTAGACGTCAAGTCATAGATACTTGTAATCCAGGGTGGCCACTTAAAGAATCATAAAAGTGTGTGTAATGTCCAAGTCAGTAGAGAAGAACAAATGTAGTTTAAAAATTACAAAATCTAAAGGAAACCAAGAAAGAAGAGAGAACAAAGAGCCAAATGTAGAAAATACCTATTATTTTAGAAGCATAAATTCAAATATATCAGAATAACATTAAAGGCAAAAGGACCTTACAAGCCAATTAGAAGGTCTAACATGTTGTTGGAATCTCAGGACATTGTTGGATTAGCAAAAAAACCAAAAACAACTGGGTGGGAATGGGGTAGAAGGGATAGGAGATGGGGAGTGAAACTTATCTGCATTTACCATTTTTGTGTAACTCTGACTTTTGAAACCGTGTTAATGTTTCTTATACATCCCCTTTAATCAACAGGGATGGGAAGGGGGCCTTAAGTCAAATACAAACAGAAACATGAACCTAACTGTATTTCAAATAAATAATATAATCACACTAATGGAGTGAAGCCTAAATAACTTTTGAACACAGTATATTGACTCTATACCTCTGGCTAAAGACAAAAAGAACTATAAACACATAACTGGATTCCAGTTTGTAGGTTTCTTTTACACAGTGGCATGGGTTAACAGTTCTAAAACTACTTTATATTTTAGGATTGGTCCAATAAGTAAGTACATTGTGAATAATGGGAGCAAGGTTTCTAGGGGAAGGTTGGGATGAATATATGGTTTTTTATAGATGTAGAAATAGATACAGGATGTTTCTTAGTTTGTCTGCTGAGAAGGCCCAGAAGCAGAGGTGCCAGTAGCAATGAGCACACCTGGTACCCACATCTTGGTTTCTAAATACCATTCTCCATGAAGAGGTACCCGGGCTTCTTGGAAGAATGGCTGATTACAAGACTGGGGCTGGAAAAATGTAAGATAAGCCTCAGACATACTGTGCTAGAAAGGAAGTGCTCAAAGGATGGGGACATGTCAAGAGTTCACAGGAGTTCACAAGAGCGCCTAGTGGCCAAATCCAGGACATTTTCAAGCATCAAAATAAGTAATAATAGTAATGGATTACAAACTATACAATAAAATAAGACCAAACTATAAGGCCAAACTGATAGGAATGAATACATAAGTAAAGGAGAAGGGAAAGCTTTCACTACAGTAGAATGCCAGCTATTAAATGGAGAAGGAATGATGGAAGTAGAAAATCCGTGTTTAGCAACCCTGTAGTAATTGATTTAGGCGAGTTTGATGAGAAACAGGAGTTTATGTAGTCTCAAAGTATCTCCCTCCACTGTACCATTAATTACAAAGGGAAAAACAGTAACTTTACAAGGGAGAAACCTGGCAGACATCACCATAACTCAGTAATGCAAAATTCACTGTCATCATTAATGGATATCAAATAGATACCATGGTGCACTCAAAGGACACAATGTCCTTCCGGGGCATCCCTTTCAAAAACGTATGGCCTGAATCTGATCTTAAGGAAAAAACCCAAATTGAGGGACATTCTCCCCGCCCCCACCCCCACCCCCCAAAAAAAGGCCTTTACTCTTTAAAAAATGTTAAGGTCATGAGAGGCAAAGAAAGACTGAAGAACTATTTCAGATTACCGTAGACTGAAGAGCTATGACAACAAAATGCGACATGGAATCCTGGACTGGAATCTTGGACTAGAAACAATTTTCTTTCGAAGGACATTATTTGAATGGTTGGCAAAATTTGAATAAGGCCTGTAGATAGATAGGCCTGTAGAATAGATAATAGTTTCGTATCAATGTTAATTTTATAATTGGTATAATTGTACCATAGTTATTTAAGAGAATGTCCTTGTTTGTAGGGCTACTTGGGAGATACGAAGCCTGCACCGTTCAGAAAATAAAGGGGTGTGTGTGTGTGTGTGTGTGTGTGTGTGTGTGTACAGAGGAGCACCCATGCAGAGTCCCCTAGTGTCCTGCCCTGTCTCCTACAAGAAGGCACACCCCTTTCCTCCGTCGGCCAGTCAGGCAGCTGTTAGAGGTGGGGCTAGGTTGCAGCTGGTTCGTTTCTGGTCGCCTCTGGTTTCAAACACATTGAGGATGAAGTCCATCCTGTGTATGTTTTAGGCCCATCCCTCTAGCAGGATTTTGGGATCTAAGCACCATCACATCCTTCTGTCTAGGAGAGCAGGGCCTCTTACCTTGTTTTTCTTTTTCAAAAATATCTTGGCCGGGCACGGTGGCTCACGCCTGTAATCCCAGCACTTTGGGAGACTGAGGTGGGCAGATCACGAGGTCAGGAGATCGAGACCATCCTGGCTAACATGGTGAAACCCCGTCGCTACTAAAAAAATACAAAAAATTAGCTGGGCGTGGTGGCGGGCGCCTGTAGTCCCAGCTACCTGGGAGGCTGAGGCGGAAGAATGGCGTGAACCTGGGAGGCAGACGTCGCAGTGAGCCGACGTCGCAGTGAGCCGACATCGCGCCACTGCACTCCAGCCTGGGCAACAGAGCGAGACTCCGTCTCAAAAAAAAAAATCTTGGCTGTTTTTGGCCTTCTGAATTTCCATTTAGATTTCAGAATTGACTTGTTAATTTCAACAGCTGAGTAAAAGAATGACTCCCATACATGGCTGTATATACCTTTACTGTATTTTATCTTATTTTATATATTTTGAGACGGAATCTTGCTCTGTTGTCCAGGCTGGAGTGCAGTGGCGTGATCTCTGCTCACTGTAACCTCCACTTGCCAGGTTCAAGTGATTCTTCTGCCTCAGCCTCCTGAGTAACTGGGTTTACAGGTGTGCACGCCACCACGCCTGGCTAATTGTATGTATTTTTAGTAGAGACAGGGTTTCACCATGTTGGCCAGGCTGGTCTCAAACTCCTGACCTCAGGTGATCCACCCGCCTCGGCCTCCCAAAGTGCTGGGATAACAGGCGTGAGCCACTGCGCCTGGCCTTGTGCATACCTTTGGTTGTGTTGTTTGTCTTCCAGCTTTTCAGAAGAGCTGGTAGATGAAGCTCTGGGTGCCGTGGCTGCTGAACTTCAGGATATGTGTGAAGATTATGCAGAAGCTGTGTTCACCTCAGAATTCTTAGAGGCTGCTACATAAAGGCTCTCCGAGGCAAGGCCCTTTGTCTCACACTGGAGAAGGGATGGCACTACCCTTTGTTTTGGCCCACAGGAAATGTTCATCCTCAGCTGTGCATCCAGGCCCAGAAGGTGCTGCCCACGGAAAGGAAGGCAGTGCCAGGGAGGTCATCCTCACTTGGCATTTTCTTTTGTTATGGCAATGGTTCTAGAAATGTATGATGCAAGGTATTATACTTACCGGTGCCCAGGAAACACGACTTGATGATGGCAATATTTTCAGAATGTGTACTTTTCCTATTGAAATATGATGTTCATTCCTCTGGCTCAGTTTGGTGATGAAAATGTTTTGAAAGATAATCGATACGTATATTTCACACTCGGATTCAGGTTGCTTTTGAACCCTTGGTGGCATTGATGCCAACACAAGTGCAGCTACTAGCTGGTCCCATCGCCGGGCCCCTGTTTTGCATCTTTGGCGATTTCCTGTCAGGACCTCTGGCCCTACTAGGCTACAGACTCAGGGAGAGCACAGTTTGGCTATGCTGCCAAACCTCTGCTCTGCTGCAGCTTATTACAAACAGGAGCCCCCCACCCCCGGTTGTCAGTGCACAATAATAAACACACATTTCTTCAATGTTCCATTCCTAGGTGATTTTCACATTTTTAGTTCCTCAGCATATTTTATTGCTGTGTTTGACACAATCTGGTACAAAAAACTTTCTCTGGATTCAGAGGAAGTTTGAGGAATCAGGAGAGGCCCAGGCCGTCTCTGTGCCTGGCAGAAGGTACAGAGCTCGCCGTGTCTCCGATGAGGTCAGAAGTGTCTCTATTTCATACCACAAAGGAACTCTGAGTGGGAGTAGAGAACAGACGGGTGGCGCGGAGACCTCTGCGTCTTCCCAGACGGGTGGCGCAAAGACCCCTGCGTCTCCCCAGACGGGTGGCGCGGAGACCCCTGCGTCTCCCCAGAGAGAGGAAGAAACTTAAGAACCGTCATGACCTGGTCCTCCAACATCTTACAGATCATGTTTTCCAAGAGAAAAGCCTGTGTTTTCAGAAACTCTGCATTCAGAAAAAGAAACAGAATGTGCATAAGAATCAGGCCACTGCCTGGGAAGACTTCCTCTCAGTTCCTAGCCTGAGGCTCAGTGAAGGAAACGTGCAGAAAGAATGCCCGAGACGCCCCCAGGGAGTAAGGGAACTCTTTATGACCCGTCCAGTGCTGTCATCTGGGATTTTTCTCTGAAGTACGAGAATTTCAGGTGATTTAAGCTGCTTGATCACACTTATTTGTTCACAATTGATTTTCATTTAATGTTAATGTTTTCCTGCTTAATTTTATATAACTTCAGAATGTAAAGAGCTTCAAGGTAAATTACAAGGTCTTTCAACTGGGGAGTTAAATGTGTACACTTGAATTAATAGGAGCACCTGTCATTGCTAGTCTAAAGTAATTTGTGTGGCAGTTTGTACTGTGCTGATTTTTAAAAATAAACCCAATATTTTAAAGTATGTGCCTGTCTATTTGAAATAATTTACATCTCCCTTTTTTCCCACAGGCAAAGTGAAATGTGATTTACAGAAACCATTGAGAATACTTTTATATGTGATATGAGTATAGTGGATTATTTGCCACCCCTTCCCACTGAGAAAAAAAACCAAATGACAATAAAAGCTAACATTTATTGGGCACCTGCTAGAGCATTGCTTTCCAGGCCCGCCATGTAGTAACTTACTTCATCCTCACCTCATCTCTGTGAGGTGGACAGCATCATTGTTCCCATCATATAGATGAATAAAGCGAGGCACAGGAGGAGATAATTTGACCAAACTTTGAGTTCACCTGAGCACCTTTCCTTATCTTCCTGCCTTTCCCTATCCCCACTCAACGTGTGCTGGACACAGTGCTCTGGAGCAGTCCCTTTCCTCACACTTCCTGCTGCAGCGCATGTCCTGAAAGACCGAGCCCAGGCTCTGCCTTGTTTCAGGATCTTCCCACTCTCTCTCCTGCTCCTCCCACCAGGCGGATCTGCCCTTCTCTGACTCATGGGTGGGGCTTCAACCAGCCCCAGTGTCCAGGTGTCGACTTTATATCCCTAGCCCATCGCAAACATCCGCAGCCAGAGCATTCTCCAAAGACACAAAAATGTACTGCAGGAAATAAACATTTTTATTTGAAAATGGAAGCTAAATCCTTAGAATATAAAAGTTCCCATTTATCGCCTTGGAGCCAGCCCAGACATCTAGAATTTTTGTTCTTCATGAACAAGGGCTGACCGTACATCATTCTGTAATTCCCTTCAGCTTTCTCCCGAACTATTCGTGTACCATTTTCAGAAGCAGAAACACACGAGTTCAGTGTTTTTGTGTTGCATAGGCCATCCCCAATGTACAGAGGCATGAAAATGCACTCCGAGCACTCCACCGCCGCAGCTTGGCCACACGAGATTTCTGTCTGTTTCTGTGCTTACCTCTAGACCGTTTAGCTCCTTGAGGGCAGGGACCCTGCCTAGCTTGTAGTTGGTGCTCAGTAAATTCTTATGAATTAATGAAAGGTGAAGGGCAGACTGATTGATTTTATACAGGGGGGCCTGTCACATATAGTCCACAGAAATTTATGTTGTCCTTTTGTGATCCTGAGATAGAATGCCATTGAGAACTATAATTCCATCTTAGAGGTACTGCTGCCATTGCAATTCCAGCTCAGATGAGAAGAACTTGCTTCCTCCTCCTAGAGCAGGGGATGGGCCTCAACCTCAGGCTGCTCCTGATCTTGAGTAAGCCTTGGCCAGAGTGCTCCTGGAGACTAGGCTGGGGCGGCCCAGGGACTAGAGAAGAAGACAGAAGGATGTGCATGGGAGCCCCTTTCCTCTCATGTTCTGTTACTATTTCAGCACTGTGATCCCTTCTCCCTCTGCCCGCTGGTGCTGGGGTTTGGAGGAGAGATGGTGAGGAGAGAAGGGCTCTCCTCTCTCCACTTCCTCCCTGGGCTCACGGTTCCTGCTTTCCTGAAGGTGGTCGGAGTGTGTGTGTGTGTTGGGGGAGGGGGGAGGTGGAGGCCTGAACTGTACTGTGGCTAGTGGGTCTGAAAGACAGGAGGAAGGGCCTGAGGAAGCCCCAGGGCCAACAGCAAGGGGAAGGGTCCAAGTCAGAAAGTGCCCCGCGCTCTCTGTGGCTGTGTAGGTTTCCATCACGCTTCTGTGTTTGTGAGAGGAGCTCTCTTTATTTTGGCAACGTGAGACAGTAGTGAGAATTCCCTGCAGAGCCTGTAAATCAGGGGTGTCCGCATCATCATGGGCTTGTTATCACCACGGAAGTGCCCTCTGGAAGGGGCCGGCCTGTGAAAGGGCTCCTGGTTCTCCGGGCTCTTGGAGAGCCACAGAAGGGCAGTGGCCTTGCCACACTCAGTCCGTTGATTCAGGAGCCGAGATCTCAGGTCTGTTTCCACACTGGCATATTGACTGAGCCCAATAACCTGGGCCTGGATTGGAGGGGCTTCCGCCTGACATCCTGTGTACTTCCTATCAGTCCTCAGTAGGGGCCCCAGGAAACCCCAGATAGGGACCCTAGGCTGGTTGTCAGGCCCAAGTGAACTCAGGCAACAGACCCAGTAGGGTCCTTCCCCGACCTGGAGTGCACAGCTGGCTTCCAGAGTCAGGGCTCCCCTCCCAGTTCAGCTCCAGTGCTGGGTTCCCCTCTTGCCAGCCTGCCCAGGGCCTTGCTCCGCCCTCCCCAGTCTTCTCCCCAAGCCTGCACCTGCCTTCCCAGATGACCCTCTTATCCTTTATCTGCTGCTATCCCTGGAGTCCCCTTAGCTGTTCTTGTCCTCATATACCTGGAAATCCTTTCCTTAAACCAGACCTCCAGTCTTTTACTGTCTTCCCTGGCTCACTTTCCATCCATCCAACTGGACTTCTGCCTGTGGCCTGGAGTTAGGTCCATCCGTTCCCACCACCGAGGCTGCCTCCCAGCCCCCAACCTCGTCACGGCTGGCTACTCCCCTTGGGGAGTCCAAGCCACTCGCATACGCTGTCCTCTCTCTCCCTGGTGTTGTCATTTATTCCCCATGACACTCTGGGCCTCATAGTTTTATCCCTCCCTCCACTCATTCCAACACCTCAAAATCCTTTCTGGAGAACCTTCAAAGGTCTTACCCAGTCATTTCTGGAGCATCTTGACACTAACTCAGGTGAGACCCCGTCCACCTCCATGTCCTCATCTCTAAAACCCCTTCTGGTCACTGCTGGCCTTTTGCTTTCACTGCAGCCCTCCACCCTGTCCCCTTTTAGCCTCCCTACTTGGGATCTCTCATCTTGTATTGCTCTGTGGCCTCCTCCATCCCCACCCTTCCTCTCTGCCTCCCTCCCTGAATTTAGTCACGCATTTCCCTTCTGCTCTGCTTGGCTCCCCCAGAATCTCCCACCCACACATCGTTCCTCTGTCTTCACTGTGGGTCTTGGCCAGGTCAGCCTGAGGCCTCTCACTCCTGAGCTGCGGAGCCCTGCAGAAGGTCACTGGGCCTGTGTCCTGGAAGCCCACAGCACATTCCTGCCACCTGCCACAGGGAGGCCCCCAGCGCTCCAAGAGAGCTCTATCCATGCCTGGCAACTCTTGTGGACTGGGGACAATTCTAGGAAGACTTTCAGCTCTGAAATGCTGTGATCACGAGGGGCAGGAGCATTCAGATCCCAGACATGTGGGCTCTGCCATCTGCCCCACAGCCCCAGAGTTCCCTAAGCCTGAGCTGAATTTGACACTCGTTTCTCAAGTGCACATGGGAAGCAGGGAGTCCAGGGAGCCACGGAGATCAAACTGGCCACCAAACTTGTGCAGCCACCATCCTATATGCCCCTAAAGACCTCCGGGGGGAGAGTGGCCTCTCCAGGGCCAGGCTCAGTAAGAGATGTGGCTTTTCTTAACCATAATTAGCCAACGCACTGCTTCCGGAGACTTACTAAAGGTCAAGAGAAGTTCCCTGAATGCTTTGAACAACAGCTCACCTATTCGCTGGCACTTTAGAATTTATAAAATGCGTTTACGTATATTCTTTCCTTACGTCACTGTAACCACTCCTGTTTTGTATACCAACAGTAATTCGGCTCATTAAGAACTGGAGCCACAAGTTAAACTCCTGTGTGATTTTCGTGCCTTGGTTTCCTAATAGGTGAAATGGGGATGAAAACATAGCACCCACCCAAGGTTTTGGTGAGGATTAAGGGAAATACCCATGAAACCACTTAGAATCGCGCTGGGCAGCCAGTAAGTGCTCAATAAATGTTACCTATTAGACTCCCCACTGAGAACCTCGTAAGAGGGAATCTTTCAGCTTGTTCGCACAGGCTTGGTTCCGAAGCGTGTCCCTGGCCTTCTTCCACCCATTGCGCTCTCTCTCCTGCTCACAATCCTGTGCCTCTCCTCGTCTTGCCTGTCACACCGGACACTCAGCAACACTTTTCCTGGCCTGGCCTTTGGCTGCCCTGAGTCACACACACACACCCGGCTTCCCCCTCCAGCTGGTCTGCCTGGGCTGCCTCAGATGGACGCCCTTGCTCTTGGGCTTCCGGTGCCACCAGAACTTTCTAAACTGGACCACGTCCTTATGGGGTAGTTGAAGTATTAGCCCCATTTTACAGATGAAGAAACTGAGGTTTGTAGAAATTAAGGGGCTTGCTCCGTGTCACGCAGACACGGGGACAGGGCCAGAACTCAACCTGGATCCTTTGACTTCAAGTCTAGTAGCCTTTCCATTCTGCCACACAGTTTGATCTTTCTGCCAAGTAGATGATTCTTAGATGGCCTAGGAAATCTTAGCAGATGTCAAACATAAGGGCAGTCTCCAATTTTTAAAAAATCAGCAAATATTTTCTGTGGTCCCGCTCTTCGCCAGGCACGACGGTACTTGGTTCTGGGCGTATAAAGAGGACTGACATATCTGTCTTCACTTTCTTTTTTTTTTTTTTTTTTTTTTGAGATGGAGTCTCGCTCTGTCCCCCAGGCTGGAGTGCAGTGGTGTGATCTCAGCTTATTGCAACCTCTGCCTCCCGGATTCAAGCGATTCTCCGGCCTCAGCCTCCTGTGTATCAGGGATTACAGGCGTCTACCACACCCTTGCTTCACTTTCTAACACGGCCCAGCACAGTGACCAGGTCAGAACTGAGCTGTAGCCTCAGTTTCCAGCCACTCCATCAGGGTCTGCTTTCCTGGGCCCCTACACTCCTGCTGGGGCTAGAAACCCTGCCCACAGAGTAGCGATCACCCCACTGCCTGGGTGCTATGTCCTAGGTGCTTTATTTACATCACCTCATCTGAATCTCACACTAGTATTGAGATACAGAGTATCATCCCATTTTACAGATGAAACGGAAACCAAGCAAAGTGCAGATTTTCCCTTCTGGAAAGTGGTTGTCACCGGGTCTCGTTACAGATTTGATACTCTTCCCAGCATACTGCAGTGCTGCTCCCTGGGCCCTGGCATCCAGCCTGCTGCTGGCCAGGCCCTCCTGTCTCAGAGT